GTCGTAATTGATCTATTAAGACAAGCTTTCTAACCATTACAGCATATATATATATATATATATATATATATATATATATATATATATATATATATATATATATATATATATATATATATACCATACGTTCGTTCACGTTAAGAATATATCTTAAAATTAAAATTCGTAGGTGAAAATGATTTATTAATTTAAGGTATCTTAATTCCAATTGTATATATATATATATATATATATATATATATATATATATATATATATATATATATATATATATAATATAATATACATATATATATATATATATATATTGTAATGCCTGCTCTTGCGTCAGCTTTCTGCATTCAATTTGGACGGAGGTTAGTGTCTCATCATTTCCTTGGATTTGTTTTTTCAAATTATAGCATTACTATTGCCTTCCTTTTGGGATTCAATGATAAGCCATTCTTTTGTTTCAGATAGATATTGCATAACCATCATTGCGACTCACCTCGATCATTCCTATCTAAAAGTATTCGAAAAATATTTCTTTCAATAGATTTTTCTAGTTACTTTTCCCATTTTTCTTGTATTTTTCCTTGGGAAAATTTCGCGTAGTTATCATATTTATTAAACATGATTGCCATCGGCCATGTCCTTGTAAATAACTAAAAGAAATTTACTCGAACTATTTCCCATAAGAAATCACTTGTAACCATAACAGATCTAGTCATCCGTACCAAATGATATATCTTGAACTAAAAAACAAACAAACAGCACAATAATTATTTCTACATCGTTAAAACACCAGCTGAAAGAGCTTTATAAACTGTTTTCTAGTTTTATTTTTAGATAAATTCAAAATAATTTACAAATCAAATGGTTTTGTTTCTCTTGCGAAATTTTAATTTCTTTGCTTTTGAAATGTTATTCAAGAAAAAAATATTCCCAAAATAAGACGTTGCAGATAAATATTTCTGTATTTGTCAACTTCGACATTTAATTAAAAATTTATATGCGACGTACTATTTCATTAGTAAATCCAGGTCTTCGGTCTTTTTATATCTATTTAATTAACATATTATATATGTGTATTAATAAATGATGCTACAGAATTTATAAATTAAAGAAAGCAATATTTGGCGGCTTAAAGACGTACATGAATATAGAGATCGTCTTCTTAACATTTGATTATTTACCATGTCTTTGTTGGTGAATCCGTAAACCCGAAAGATTGCTATCTCAAGATCGGTCCCAAAACAAAGGAATATTGACGAAAAAGCAAGTATTTTTTTCTGATTTCATCATATTTACCTAGCTCTCAATACTTGCTTTTTTTTAAGATTCGAGGTGATAAATATCTGCTATACTACATATTCTTTGGTAATGGACTCTCAGGAGTAATAAGTAGGAGTAGCAGTGGCGAGTCTGGCAGAATTGTGTTGAGCGCGTCAGTCGAGATTCAGATATTTGAAGTACCAACAATCACAACTAGATTTGCTGCGTCATTGAGTCTTATTTTCCAAGTTTCTAACGTTTTGTACGTCGGACCTAATTTAGGACGACTTATTAGAAATACAAGCCTCCACTGTGAAAATACTCCACAACAATATCCTCTTCTAATGCATATCACGAAGCACAGAAGAAGACTTGCTTTCAATATCTCCAATTTAATTTTTTAACACCGTGTCCTCAATTCACACCTTTAGCCTTACTAGATATTTTTAAACGGTAACGAGTATAATACCTGTATTGTTTCCTCTGACGTGATTAAAAGTTTAGAAAATTGGTTTGGTTGACAATTTGTCAGGTAAAATATAAATAGCAGCAATAAAAATTACGTAATCATATATATGAAAAATTTCTCAATTAACCTGTAGAAAAGGACAATATGTATAAAGGTAAATGACAATATGAAAACTGTATTATTAACCGACGGGTTTTGTATAATGTGGACTTTTTCAAGTCAAAAACGCAATGGATTTATTAAAAACAATGTAGCAACAAAACCAAATGTCCTTAGCAACGAGAAGAATTTAGAAAACGCTATTGTATTCATATTGTCAATTGAAAATTGCATCAAGTACTGTCATGTGTGGAAATATTGTTTTTATTGTTGTGTTGACGGATTCAACCATTTTCTTTTGATTTCTTGCTACAGTTGTGTAGGTTTTCTTGGGGGAGTAGTAATTCTGTTAGGAAAGGAGGTATTGGAAAAACGACTGGGCCTAGATTAAATTTTGAATAATATTCATTGGCGGCACTCTCGAGAATTTTCCTTCTGACTTATTTTCTTTTTTTTATAAGTGTAGCATTATTAAAATCAAAATTGTGGTTGAATTTATTTCTATGTATAACTAGTGTATTAGTTATGAACACAAAAGTGACCTCACAAAAAAACAATTTAACTAATGCAAGTTTTCTAGATTCTTCTAGTTGCTAAAGACATTTTGTTTTGTTGTTAATAGATTTTTTTTAATTCTTTATTCACATTCTTAGAATCTGACGAAATTATTTTTCTTTTTAAATATTTATACCCTTTCTCACAAAAAATGTCTCTCCGATTATTTTGTTTAATAATAAATTTATTTCGTCTTTATTAAATTTATTTAAAGAAAAAGCAAGCATTTTTTAAAATATTGCATTCACTTACGTGCTAATACCCTTGGGAATGATATGAATCCTCTTCTTCTCACCCCCACCCACACATGGGTAAATAGCAGGACAGACCGGGTTCTATAGCTTTGGATGGCAATTGGTCTACCGCAGAAAGAAATGACAAACTACTGAGGGGAAAAAAAATATGCCTCATCAGTCATGTATCGAAAGATACATGATCGCCTAAGCGTGTATCACGCATGGCACATAACTGACAGTATAACAGTATTCAGCGATCCGGTTTCAAATTCCAGTCCTGTCTGTTGCATTCAGTAATATCCACAGCATTGACAAGTTAAATAGCTGGGTTCCCTTAACTTGGTTAGCAGCCAGTCTAGGAGAAGGAACATAGTGAATACCAAATTGCCGAGAAAGCAAGGGGAAGTTATCCCACTATTTTTGCCCATGAATTCACGTAAAATGCAGACATAAGAAAGAAAAAGGAACCTGTGGAGAGTCGTTATCAATTAAGTTCTGAAGGAAAAATATCTAAATGGAAGTGAGATATTTTTAAATATTTTATTCACATTCTAAAAATCTAACGAAATTATTTTTTTCTTTTTAAATATCTGTACCTTTACTGACAAGAAATGTCTATCCGGTTATTTTGTTTAATAAGAAATTTATTTGGTCATTATTAAATTGATTTAAAGAAAAATCAAACATTTTTTAAAAGATTATAATGCTATTTATTTATTTTTTTATTTTTTATTTTTTTACATATATGTCACGATACATGCAATATAAGGGCGGTAAACAAGCCCCGTATATTTTAAATTTATACAATGTTATAATACTTACACTAATACCATCAGAAGCATCAACGCAGACCTCTTCTACAAATCATGGGTTCTTTTTTAGTGGAAATATCTCCGTACAATTAGAATACGGGGGTGATCAAGGCGGTTCAACTCGGTGGACATAACATAGAGGGTTCTAGTTGTAGACATCTGAACTATTGGAACTGAAGTTTGGAGTTCGTTTGAATATTTACCATGGACATATTGCAGAAGAAAACATGTCTCCCAGCCCAAGACAACGTAAACGACATTGAACACTCAAGGATGGAAAGTAAATATTTAGTATCTTTTGGTCTAATCTGAATCTAGTGAATTTTTAGCGGGGCACAGTGAATCAGTTACTTTCTGGAGTGGAAAATATCCCGATCTTTTTTCTAGCACCGTTTGCAATATATTACATGGATGAAAATATCCCGATCTTTTTTCTAGCACCGTTTGCCATATATTACATGGATGAAAATATGCCGATCTTTTTTCTAGCACCGTTTGCCATATATTACATGGATGAAAATATGCCGATCTTTTTTCTAGCACCGTTTGCAATATATTACATGGATGAAAATATGCCGATCTTTTTTCTAGCACCGTTTGCCATATATTACATGGATGAAAAATGCCGATCGTTTGCCATATATTACATGGATGAAAATATCCCGATCTTTTTTCTAGCGCCGTTTGCCATATATTACATGGATGATTTTCTACTGGTTTCGAGTGAACTTAAAGCCCAACTGCCGCTCGAAACAATAATCTTTAGTTTCTGATCAGCGATTATGAAAAGATTCTCGCCTAGTTTTTTAACCAAATTTTCTCGCCCCAAACACTGAGATGTCTGAACTAGTACTAGGGTAAGATCAGCTGCCAGACTACGAACGCCTTGATTTTTTAGAGGTGCACCTATAAACTGTTGTATCATGTGCATAGATATTTGCTAATAATCTGAGTATATTCCTATCTTTATCATTAACAAATATTAAAAAGAGGGTAGGACTTAAAAGAGCCTTGGGATAAACCTGCATTGATTCACATGGGATTCAGATGACTGGTCATTCACATAAACGAGTGTGCATTGCAGTGCTGCAAAGAGGTTATTTGATCGCGTAAAACCGCCTAATTTTCTCGTATAATAATGAGCTAAAGATACATAAAATTCAGATATTTTGTATTTTTTTTACATGAAAGTATATATTTGTATCCATCCTTCTCGCAAAATATATCTAACAGTTCCCTATGCTATATCTATTTCGAGCTTAAAAATACTACATGTTGTCTGTCACTAGGGTAAAGACGTGACAGAAGTTCACAGAATTAAATAACATTTTTTTTTCCAAAAGGAATTTTTTTAAACCTAAAAACTACTTAGCATACCTATTGAGAAATGCCTTAAAATCTAACTTGGTTTCATACTCTACGCTTCTGATGATGATGATGATAATAATAATATCGTCTTAATAATGTGCCTATCATCCCTTCCTTAGATTGCACGACCTTAAAGACCTAACAATACCTAATAAATGATGAACTATTCCGTTTTGATCGCATGGAAAGAGGAAAAAAGACTTGTTTTCAGTGACGAAAAGAAAGAAAGAAAGAAAGAACAAAAGGAAAGAAAGAGAGAACGAAAGGAAAAAAGAACAAAAGGAAAGAAAGAAAGAACGAAAAGAAGAGAGAAAGCAGGAAAGAAAGAAAGAAAGAAAGAAAGAAAGAAAGAAAGAAAGAGAGAACGAAAGGAAGGGAAGAAAAAACGAAAGGAAAAAAGAACAAAAGGAAAGAAAGAAAGAAAGAACGAAAAGAAGAGAGAAAGCAGGAAAGAAAGAAAGAAAGAAAGAACGAAAGGAAGAAAGAAAGTAGGAAAGGATGAAAGAACGAACGAAAGAATGAACGAAAGGAAAGAACGAACGAAAGGGAAAAAAGAACGAAAGGAAAGAAAGAAAGAACGAAGGGAAAGAAAGAAAGAACGAAAGGAAAGAAAGAACGAAAGGAAGGAAGAAAAAAGTAAGAAAGCAGGAAAGGAAGAAAGAAAGGAGGAAAGGAAGAAAGAAGGAATGAAAGGAAAGAAAGGAAAGCAAGAAAGAGTTTAATGTCTCCCACCACTACTCATAAATAATGAATTATTCCGTTTTTACGGCGTGGAAAAACCAGAAACGACACAATCTAGTTTCAGTTAAAAAAAAAAATGAATGAATGAATGAATGAAAAAAAGAGCAGATAGAAGTGTTTAACGACAGTTTCAGTGAAATGCGACGATCGAAGGATCCAAAACAATTCCCACAACCTCAGCGATAACGTAATTTTTATATTCTTTTCGACGGTCTTAATGTAACCAGAAAAATCTCGTATGTGCGAGAATGCAAAGTTCTTAAATATTCGCCCTATGAGCCACTATACATCTCTGTCTTTCTTTCTTTACATGCAACGCACGTACGAAGTCTTTGTGCCGGCGTTAAGTTAATTTTATCTTTATTTGCTTTTTCTTTCAGTTCTCCAACCTCAAAAGCAATAAAGAAAATTCTACTTTAAAATCAGAAAGAGACAGTTGTCATCTCTGGGTTACTTTTGAGAAAATTGATACCCACAGAGAATAGTGAAGCCAAAAGGGACAAACAAGTCAAAGCATCGCTTAACCTACCTAACGAGCTTGTATAAATGGATGGCAGAACAAGGATTAAGGGTCACGTCGTAAGGGAAAAAATTACTTGCCACAAGAGCTACAAAGGAAGTTTTTGAGAGCCATGATTGCTCAGGTCCTGAAAAGAAACGTACATAGAAGAGGCAAGTAAGGTGTCATATATTTAGCAGCATTTTATTTTCAATTGATCTGTGGGTATGTTCCGCATTATGTATAAATTTTAGAAGGACGTAGCAAAAGTTTAAACATAAATTCAAAAAGGGTATTAAGTTTAATAGGACGCCACGAAACAATATTCATGCTTGTCTAATTGGCGCTAAGAACTGGCGCTAAGAACTGGCGATAAGTTTAACAATACAAATGTTTTGATGGAAATTTTGAGCACAGTGTCATTTTATGCTAATGTTTGAAAAAAGAACATTACATGAAACATACATATTCTATAACTACTTTTAATGATTGTTCGTCCATTGATTTAATGAGATTAATCTATTTAAACAAACAGATCACTAAGCTTTTATTATATAGCTTTCCAGGGGCACCACGGGGTGGTGTACTGGTTAGCAAGCTTGTCTCGACAGAACAATTACGAATGAGTAGTGAGTTCGACCTTGTGTCACATCTGAGCTACGCTTGGAAAATCACTATATAGCTTTCCAGACACCATCTTTGCTGGTAAAGATAGATCAAAGGCTTATGACCATGCGCAGAAGTTGCAGGCTAGGTTCGTGCATTTGGGTAGTGCTGTAAATATGACAAAGGCGAAAAAACAACACACAAACCGAATTTGAGACATAATGACGGAAAGAAAGAAAACAACACTCATAGATTGGTACAATTGCTAAATCTAAATGTTGACCGTTTATCCTTCAAGAAAAGAGTGAAATGTGGCAATACAGAATTTAATCAGAAACGTACCCACCAGGACAAAATGTTGGCCAAATATTTCTGACACAACGATTCCAAGATGCACCCAATTTTACTTCATTTGTATCAGATAGTGTATATTCCTAGTTTGACAAAAAAAAAACTTCATTTGTACCAGATAGTGTATATTGCTAGTCTGAAAAAAAAAAAAGCCACACGACCGCTTCCCATATTTTAGGGAGAAATCAACTGATAGTATTATTCGAAATTGAAACACAAGCATAATGAAAACATCTACTAATGGAAATAAATAAAGAATAACCGGCAGAAAAAAAGTAATATAGAGCGAAAGAAGTAGTTACAGAGCAAAACCACAAATCAAAAGGATACGATGCGAAAAGAGATTTATTTGAAAATCTTGAACCGAAAATTGAAGAGAGAACGAAAAAAGCCTAAGTGATGTGAAGGAAGAAAAAAAAACGATAGGAAAATTAAAATTAAAGAAAGAAACACTGTTCTGTAGCTGAAACTAAATTACTTTTCCGCAAAATATTATTCTAAAACCCAGACTCCCCAGAGTAAACTGAAAACCTAGAAAATAATTTAAATTTGCTCAGAATTAACTTTCTTCACTTTCAACCTACGATGTATTAAGAAATACGATAAGCAGAGAGCTTCGTCTGATCGAATAGATATTGTTATTATAAAATTGCATTGACATAAGCTTTCATCTGTAACTAAACAGACAAAAGAGAAAATGTCGTTTTAATGTAGACGAAGCTCTCGCTGAGTGACAAAGGAATCCACGATGCGTTTAGATATTCCGAATTGGTTAGAGTCACTTTGAAAAAGAAAATTAATCATTTGATAAATATTTAACTAAAATAAAACTTGACATTAGAGAACTGGAGTATTCTATCAAAACACACACTTTGAAGAAACGCTTAAAACAAATAAAATAATTATAAAATAATTGACTCCAGGAGACACAACCCCAAATGTGTACAAATTATTTAAAACGCGTTTAAGTTAAAAAAATATAATATATATGAACTAATTTATTTATATACTTTTTCTGGTGCACTCAAAATCTCAAACAGTTTAAATTACGTCACTTATAATTTACACTTATATTTAAATTTGATCACACAGGCAAAAATGCATATTTTCAAAAAATTAAATTTTCAACAACATTTTATTGAATAGGAATAGTAACAAATAACATCTTTCATATGATCTCCATCATTTGTGATACAAAGGTTGATGGGCTTTGCAAGATTCACTTGAAGTCGATGTAATGATTCTACATTGCCGTCAATTTAACGCATTCATTCTTTATGCGTTCATTTAAGTGTGCTGCATCTGATTATCAGTGACTATACCTTCTTCTTTAGTATACACCAGAAAACGAAGTAAATTATTTCTTCTTTCGCCAAAACCATGTTTAATCTGTGGAGATTTCCTACGTGTCCAGAATTTAAAGACACCTTCTATTACATTCCAAAAGTTCCAGGATATACCTAACATACGATACGGATATAATTAAGCTTTGATAATGGCCCAATGTGTAGAGAAAATACATGTTCAAAAAGATTAAGGGCCTATGCTTGCCGACGCCATTTTCTCCATGCTGCAAATAAAAAGCTGGAGAGATGAAGCGGATTCATACTTTTCCCAAGGGTATTAGCATGTAAGTGAATGTAATGAATCTGACTGGAACTCGAACTTGGCTCTCCGATTCCTCAATCCAAGCCACTATCCATTACTGCGACGTGTCTCCACTCATATATATATATATATATGAAGAAAATTTTTTCTTCATACTGTCGGATCTATATCCATATATTTGCTTTTATATATATGTGTGTGTGTAGAAAAATAGGAAAGAACACGTTAGGTAAATAACCCAGGGTTCTTTAGCATTTTTGTTTTCATATATTTTTTTTAGTATTTTTGTTTTATTTTTTTGTTATGTTTATTTTTGTAGTTCGGTACGACGCATTTGTACATGAAACAACAGCCCGTTGAAAATAAATAAATGAATAAAATAAACAGAATTATCCAGACACTTAACATCATTCTATTGTGCCAAAATCTATCTTCCTCTGTGAATGAACAGACGATGCGCGTACAAGAAAGACATAATTCGCTTTGAAATAAACACCCCACCCTACCTCAGCTTGACCTCACCTTGAAGGTGACTGGTATGTGAATAAAAATGGCCGGCCAGCTGTGTCCATAGTAACGAATGAACATGCTTTTTATAACGATACGTAAATTTCAAAATTGGTTATTCCTAAATTTTCGCTTGAGGATGAAACAGGGCTTGTTACTTTAATTCAATTTAATTTTAATAATTATATTGTTGGTTTCGACTCTCGTTTTTGAAACATGAGAACTCTTGTTGCGAAGGAATCATATTTTTTAAAAATAATTATAATATATATATATATATATATATATATATATATATATATATATATATATATATATTATTTATAAAAATATGATTCCTTCGCAACAAGAGTTCTCATGTTTCAAAAATGAGAGTTGCGAAGGGATCATATTTTTAAAAAAACAAGAGTTATATATATATAATATATATATATTATAATTATTTTTAAAAAATATGATTCCTTCGCAACAAGAGTTCTCATGTTTCAATATATATATATTATAATTATTTTTTTTAAAATATGATTCCTTGCAACAAGAGTTCTCATGTTTCAAAAATGAGAGTTGCGAAGGAATCATATTTTATAAATTATATATATATATATATATATATATATATATATATATATATATTATAATTATTTTAAAAATATGATTCCTTCGCAACAAGAGTTCTCATGTTTCAAATATATATATATTATAATTTTTAAAAAAATATGATTCCTTCGCAACAAGAGTTCTCATGTTTCAAAAACGAGAGTATATATATATATATATTATAATTATTTTAAAAAAATATGATTCCTTCGCAACAAGAGTTCTCATGTTTCAAAAACGAGAGTCGAAACCAACAATATAATTATTAAAATTAAATTGAATATATATATATATAAGAAGTTCCATACTGGTTATATTTATATACGCCCTATCCATCATTTTTCCCCTATAGATATACCAAGTGTTAAAGTTTACATTTTATCATAAAAAATATCATTTATATATTTCTCATTTTTTATTATGCTTCTATTTAGTTTTCACTTCCTACCAATTATTGTTTTTTATTAATAACTTATTCTTGTTTGGTTTTCCTACTTCTGTAAAACCATTTCAGTATTCTTTCTCTTAGTCATAATTTTGTTTCACCATTTTGCCATTCGTTTAGGATTTTTTCTAATGTTTTTTTTTAATTCAATTTCTCTTTTTCCTTTATAAAATTCTCCTTGCAATGAATTTCACACGTCTTCATTTTTTTTTTTAAATCATTACTTCAGTTTCTTGCATATTATTCGCCATTTTCCCCACATTGTAAATACACTTAGATATATTATACTTCGCATTCAATTCTCACATGTTATTCGTCAATCGTTCATCTTGTGACACTGATTTTTCTTCTTTTTTCTTATTCACTCAAACATTGTTCCCTGTCTTTTGCAAAAAAAACAGCAATGCAGAATATGTTTCAAGCTGAATGATATCTTTATGTCGAGAGGTTAGATGCTTATAGAAAAAGCGTTGCAATGTTACAAATTAAAGAAAATTTAATACATATTTGTGCAATTATTTCTTTCAATATAAGACAAGTTCACACAATTGCAAGTTTCGGTTAAAATATTTATTCTTTATTCTAAATATACACTTTTTCTTTATATTTACTGGGAGTAAATATTCTCTTATAACTACTTCTGAATGTTTGTCTTGTCCACACACTTTAAGATCAACGTAAATTTTAAAGATACCTATTTACTTATTGTTTATATTAACTTCGGTTTATAACAGCCAAAGATTCAATTAAAATATCTTGAGTCATGATATCAATAATGGACCTTATCCGGCTATATATATATATATATATATATATATATATATATATATATATATATATATATATATATATGTGTGTGTGTGTGTGAACATCGAAGTAAGCTAAGTAACGCTTTTAATTGACCTAAGCGCTGCGTTTATATTTTCCGTGCATTGTATATTAAAGCAAAACTTTTAGGAAAGGAAATATATTTCAACATCGAAACAATTTTATGCAATCTATTTCTGTTTCAGTTTCTGTGAGGTTATTTAATAATTTGCCACATCTCATTAATATTTATTTTTCTATAAAGTCTGTCATTTCAGATAAAAACAGCACACAATTTGAATTATTTGTTTTCATTTCATATTTTCCCCGTAGACTGAAAAATAGCCCTGGCAAACAGGCGTTATATTTCACTTCACTCCTTTTATATAAATGCCTTGCTGATTATTCTACCCAATAATGGTGTTAAATTTACTTTACAGATAATAATCGAATGTATTATGTTGTAGATATTGATAAAATATATACCTTTATTTGTGAAAATCCCCATATATTTAGGAACACTTTATTATATATCCCTTCGTCTCCAGATGTGTGTACACCGTAAGGCGCATATATATAATTAATTTATTTTATAATTTTAAGACAACATTTAAAAATTGCTACACAATTGCAGTCGTGTTTCGACACATGCCAATGCGTCTTCTCAGCCGACTGTAAATTACTGGCGAGTGAACAATTAATTTGGCTTCTCTATTTTTTTTTAAAAAATGGGGGGGGTTATAAGGTTTGAGGTTTTACACTGATCAACCAATCGAATATGACCGACATTAAATTCAAACTAAGCGAAGAAAAAAATTAAAAGTTTCTTAGAAATGGGTCATAATTCCCGACCATTTCTAAGAAACTTTTAATTTTCTTCTTCGCTTAGTTTGAAGTGAACGTAGGCCATATTCGATGGGTTCATCAGGGTAAAG